ATTCCGGCCTCCAGCCGCCCCCCCCACGCCGGTCCTCAACAAAGGCCCCCATTCATGCCTCGGGCACAAAGCGGCCCATTCACCCGAGTCCCTTGGGCCTCCCGCCCCCCGGCTGCCCCCCGCGCCTCGCCATTGGTCGCACAGGCTGCCCGTCAGGCCTGGGGTCCCGCCCACGGCCGCGCGGCCGGGCTCCGAGCCCCAGCGCGGTTCTTTTCCCACGGCTGGCACTCTCCGCCAACTTCTGATTGGCCCCGCCCGCCAGCCGCTCCTCTTGATTGGCGGGCTCGTCCCCCCGGTGGGCGGGGCCGTGGCTTGCCGCAGAGGGCGCCGATTGGCCCCTGCGGCGCTCGTGTGGGCGGGGCGTTCCCGGCGGGCCCGCCCCTCGTTCTCCCCCAGGCCGAAGCCTCGGGACGGCCCTGGAAGCCGGTGAGCGCCGGGGGGCCTAGTGCCCGCGGGAGGCGGCGGAGCGGGACGGGGCCCGGGGCGGCTGGAGCCTGGGGGCCGCGATCGAGGCCCCGGGGGTCCGGCGCGGGCGGGGGGGGAGGGGCGATGACTCGGACTCTCACCTTGGGCGCCGCCGAACGGCGGCGGGGGGGCGGGGCGGGGCGTCTACACTCGCTCAACTCGAGTTCCTACTGTGTGCGAGGCCGGGTCGGGGTCTTCACGGGCGTCCTCGGGTGTGTTCCGCAGAAAGGGAAACTGAGGCTCGCTATGGGACCTTGGACGCTTTAATACCTGAGTCATCGCCTTCGATCCCCGGCCCCTAGATGACAGTGTCTCTGTTCTCACGTGTCAAAATTGCGGATCAGAGACAGGGGTCGGGACTGGCAGAGGCGGCGGGGCGGGCAAAGACATAATGGAGCGCCCATGGTGTACTCGGGCGCTTTTATTTTTATAACTAAATAGTTTCCTTTAATTCTATTAACTGGAAGTGGGTTATAGGGTACCCATTATACAGGGAGAGAAAAACAGGCTGGAGAGAGGCGGTGACAGCAAGGGGACCGCGTTGAGAATAACACTTCGGAGACCAACTGTGTGCTGGGTCCCTTAAACTTACGCCTTGGTCCCCCAGGGAAGGCTGTGGGCCCGATGGCCTAGGTGGGGAAGCAAGTTCAAGAGAGTTACCAACTGGGAGGAGGAAACTGACATCTGTGAGGACCTGCTACTCATTGTCCCCAAGCCCCGTCGTTAGAATGACAGAAAACAGTCTGGGCTTGAATCCCAGCTCCCGCTCTTGCTGAGTCTGTGACCTTGAGCACGTTACTCTGCCTCTCCCTGCCTCAGTTTGCCCATCGGAGAAACGGAGGTGCTCAGTGACCCCATCTCATTGGTTGCTGAGATCAATCTATGAGTTAAAAGTCGGGGGCTGTTCTAAGAGCAGAAAACAGCCGGCACATAGTAGGTGTGCTTACCACTAATTAGTCCTCATTTCCCCATGAGGAGACTGAAGCTCACGAGGCCAGGATAACATTGCCTCATCTTCTTTAAGTACTCTGAGCATCCTCTGTGGATTGTGTTGTCCCATTTCCAGGGTTGGGGAAACTGAGGCCCAACCGGACTAAATGATGCAGTGAGGCATTGCTTGTTTAAGCACCGCGCTGGGCACTTTCGCCCACATCGTTGTATTTATTTCATTGGTTGCAGTTCACAGAGAGGAAGGGTGAGGCCCAGAAAGCTTGAGCGGGATTCGAACCCCGGAGTCCTCAGCCCTCTCCGCCGAGGGTCCTTGACTTTTGCCCGCCAGAAGGAGGAGGGGCCCCTGGCGCTGCTGCCGCCACCGCCGCCCACCTGGCAACAAGCTCATCCCCGCCTCCCCCCATCCCCCTGTCGAGAGCCCTGCAGCTCCAGGACCCGCCCCCTTCCCAGGCCCGGCAGGTGCTGGGTGACATCAGAGCCCGGCTCCCTCCCGGTGACGCCACGTGGCCCCACCCCCGCGCTGGACCGCGGAGGTGGCCGCACCTGAGAGCTCGGAAGCAACCGGGGATTCCCGTGCCCCCTCCCCATCTCCCCGCTTCCCGAACCGGCCGGCGCCCCCAGGTAGCCCCGAGGATCCGCGGGTTGAGGGGGTGGCGACAGGGCACTTGGGTCTCGGGGAGATAGAGATTGGGCGCTCAGATTCCTGGGTCCGAGGAGGGGGGTTGGGGGCTCAGGAATCCCGGGTCTGAGTCAGGACGGCGCTGGGAGCCTCGACTTCTAGGTCTTGAGGGAGGAAGGCTCTGAGGCCGGGACTCTGGGTCTGGGAGGCCGGATTCCTGGGTCTGAGGGAGGAGGGGGCAGCTGGGGACATGGACTCCTGTGTCTGGGGGAAGAGGGGACTGGGAGCCTGGACTCCGGCGTCTGAGGGAGGAGGGGCTGGGGTCTGGACCCCTGGGTCTGAGGGAGGAGGGCTGGGGGCCTGGACTCCTGGGTCTGAGGGAGGAGGGGCTGGGGCCTGGAGGCCCGGGTCTGAGGGAGGAGGGGCTGGGGGCCCCCTCCCCACTCCTGGGTGCTAGGGAGGAGAGGCTGGGGCCCAGATTTCCTGATCTGTGGGCCCAGGGGACTCCTGGATCCCAGCTTTCCACTGAGGTCAAGGCTGGATGCCAGGGGCCCCAACCCCTGCCCCAAGGCCAGATTCCTGGCTCCTGTCCCTTTTCCAGCCCAGCAGCCTCCGCCCCTCCCAGGCAGGTGCTTTCACCTGCCCTGGTGACAGTAATGAGCCCTGGCAGAGGCCTTCCTGCTGGGGAGGGAGGGCGGGGCAGCCGCAGGGGCCCAGCCGTGTGCAGCCAGGCCCACAGCCCCGCAGGCCCCACCCCATCAGCACTGTGGTCAGTCCTCCGAATCTGGATCTCCCAGGCATCCTCCCCACCAGCCCGGCCGGAGTGAGGTGGGGGCGCGTGGACTCCTGGCTCTAGGGAGGGGACGCACAGGGCTGGGTGATTGCAAAAACTCCCAAGCTCTTCCTGGTCAAAGGCCATGGGCTGGAGAGGAAGTGGGTGGGGTGAGGGTGGGGGTAAAGTCCCCAGGACACAGCTTGGCTCTGGGTGGATCAGGGCCTCACGGGAGGCCTGGGGGCAGCCTGGGCAGTCTGGGGCCTGGGAGGTGGAGAAACCCCGTTCGCTGGTGGGAGAACCCGCTGTTGGAGTGCAGGGGCCCAGGGTTGGAGGCTGGAGCATTGCTGGGGGGCCGGGACTGCTGGTGCTGGGGCACGTGACAAGTGGGTCTGCGGAGAGGTGGGACGTGTGGCCTGGGGCCGCGTTTCCGGGCGGGAGAGGCTGAGGGACAGACAAGAGCCTGGGGGGACCTGATCTGGGGATGCCTCGAGAGGAGCTGGGCATCTGGAGGGACTTCTCCAGGGGCGTGGTGGAGGTGGAGGGCCAGGAGGGCAGAGGTGGGCAGTGATGGGGTCGAGGCAGGGCCCCATCTGATGCATCTCTGCGTCCCCAGACTCACTCCGGGCAGAGCCTGGCACCTGAGTGGCCTCAGGGAAAGTTGAGTGGATGGAGGAGTGAATGAATGAATGAGGCCGGTCTCCCCATTATAGGGAGAAAGGGACCCATGTTGCGGGGTAGGAAGGCGCTATTAACTGAGAGATGAGATTCGAGTCTGTTCTGCAGGCGTCGGGGAGGCCAGAGGTGGGCAGGAAACCTGAGTGACAGAAGTCAGATTGACATCCTCCAAGACTCACATCTAAGAGATCAGGTCTCATCATGACCCAGTCTGGCCCCCTTTGTCCCAAGTCTTACCTCACCTACCCCTCTCTCCCCTTCCATCACTTGGCTCCAGCCACACTGGCCTCTCAATGTCACAGACATACAAGCACACACACTGGCCTGTCAATGTCACAGACATATAAGCACACTCTGCCCCAGGGCCTTTGCACTGGCTCTTCTCCCAGCCTGGAATGCGTTCTCTCCTCACATTCCCATGGCTCGCTCCCTTCATGTCCCTCAGGTCCTTATTCACATGCCATATCAGAGAGGCCTTCACTGGCCACCCCAATTAAGACTTCAACACTCCTCAACCCTCATACCCTCTGTTCCCTGGTTTCCTTTTCTCCTTGGCATTTATCACCAGTTAACAGACTATATAATTTACTTATGTATCTTTTTATCTGTCTCCTGGGATTAGAGCAGAGCTGTCTAATAGAAACAGAATGCAAGCCAAATGTGTAATTGAAGGTTTTCTAGGGGCGCACTAAAGATTTTTAAAAAGTAAAAAGGACCCTGTGACATTAATCTTAATGATATATTTTATTTAACCCAATAGATCCAAAATATTATCGTTGCCATAGGTCATCAAATATAAAAAATACGGAGGAACCTTTTATTGTCCTCACTCTTTGAGGTCTGGTGTGCATCTCATACTTAGAACCCCATTTCGGTTTGGATGCTCCCATTTCAGGGGCCCAGGAGCCACGTGGGGCTATTGCTATTTAAATTTAATTAAAATTGAAGACAATGGCCCGGGGTTTCCTGGTTCGGATCCTGGGTGTGGACGTGGCACCGCTTGGCAAAAGCCATGCTGTGGTAGGTGTCCCACCTATAAAGTAGAGGAACATGGGCACGGATGTGAGCTCAGGGCCAGTCTTCCTCAGCAAAAAGAGGAGGATTGGTGGCCATAGTTAGCTCAGGGCTAATCTTCCTCAAGAAATAAAAAAAAAAAATTGAAGACAATGAAAATTTCAGTTCCTTGGTGGCACTTGCCACATTTCAAGGGCCCGGGAGCCACATGGGGTGGTTGGTGGCTCCTGCACTGGATAATGCGCAGGTCTAGAATGTAAAGCGAGGGTCTTTTGTCTTTTTTCTGGCGTGTTCTTTGCTGTGTGGCCAATGCCTTGAGCAGCGCCCGACGCACAGCCTGGCTCGTTAAGGAATTATTAAATGGATGGATGGATGGATGAAGGAATGGATGGAGAGGTCTGCGGACCCATTGGTGGAGAAAGGCCGTGGGGACCACCTTGGGGGGGGGGGTTCGGGTGGGATGGCGCCCCCCTGACCTCCCCCCTCCTCTCCCCCCTGCAGACCATGGCAGCAGTGACCGTGTCGGTGGCCGGGCGGAAGGCGCCCCCCCAGCCGGGCCCGGTGCCCGAGGCGGCGCAGCCTTACCTGTTCGCGCCCCGCGCGTCCAGCGTGGGGGGCCCTGGCGCGGCCCCGCAGGTGGAGTGGACGGCGCGCCGCCTGGTGTGGGTGCCCTCGGAGCTGCACGGGTTCGAGGCCGCGGCGCTGCGCGATGAGGGCGAAGAGGAGGCGGAGGTGGAGCTGGCGGAGAGCGGCCGGCGGCTGCGGCTGCCCCGGGACCAGATCCAGCGCATGAACCCCCCCAAGTTCAGCAAGGCCGAGGACATGGCCGAGCTCACGTGCCTCAACGAGGCCTCGGTGCTGCACAACCTTCGCGAGCGCTACTACTCCGGCCTCATCTACGTGAGTGGCCCCCGCCCCCGGGAGGGGTGGCCCGGGGTAGGGTGGCTGGGGGAGTGGGGGGTCAGCACCCCGCCTTGAGTTATCGCGAGGCTGCTGAGCATCTTGAGCCCACGTCGGGTGACTGTTCCTACACTTAGTTGCCAAATAGAAATTACTGGATCATCAGGCGTGCCCTGAGACCCCATTGGGGGTGTCCTGTTCTATTATTTCCCTAAAGTGTAAAAAATTCTGAATTCTCACCTAGAACGCATCCGGAGGGTTTTGAGAAAGGGCTGTGCGTCTGTAATGATAATTAATGAGAACCACTGACGGTGAAAAACTGCGTTCCAGGCATGGTGCTAAATAACTCCCATCTATTAATTCATTTCTTCTCACCTTACTCGACGTAGAGTCTGTTAGCATCCCATTCTATCTAAAAGGAAACTGAGGCCCAGAGATTTAGGAGCAATAAAAACTAATATTAATTGGGGCCGGCCCGCTGGCTTAGTGGTTAAGTTCGCACGCTCTGCTTCCACAGCCTGGGGGTCACAGATTCAGATTCCCCCCGGGTGGACCTAGCACCATTCCTCAAGCCATGCTGTGGCGGCGTCCCACATAAAATAGAGGAAGATTGGCACAGATGTGAGCTCAGGGCCAATTTTCCTCACCAGGAAAAAAAAACCCTAACATTAATTAAACATGTACTAGGCACTTTAAAATATATTGTCTCCATACGTTTTCACAATTATAAAGCCTTTTGTCCCCGTTGCACAGATAGAGAAACTGAGGCACAGAAAGTTCAAGTTCCTTGACCAAGCTCACCCAGTTGGACAAGGCCCACCCGGGTAGTGTGGCTCCAGGCTCCACCCTTTTGCTGTGGTGCCTCTTAAGATTAAGACAGGATTGACGATGGTGAGGTTGACTATGGTCGTCTAATCTCTGTTAAGCATTTAATGTCTCTCATGTTATTTAATTTTTACAGCAAACAGATGATGTAAGGCAGCAGTTCTTAACCCTGCCTTCCTGTTAGAATCACTCAGGGAATTTTTCAAAAATACCAAGACCTGAGCCGCACCCCAGCCCATTTAAATCAGGCTCTCTGGGTGTGTGACGTGGGCGTTGGTATTTTTAATAAGCTTCCCGGGTGGTTCTCATGGGCAGGCAAAGCGTTGTTAAGAGCCAACAGGATTAGAGAGATCGGCAAGGAATGTCGACACTAATAATGAAAAATAATAATAATGGTGGCTGTCAAATATTTATTAAGCACTTAGAATAGCCGGGGCCTGTTATCATCACCTGATGCCCAGGAATGTTAAGTGACTTGGGTCCCACATCACACAGGCGTGAAGGAGTCGTGCTGGGCTGTGAACCCGGGCAGCTGGCCGCAGAGTCACGCTCCAGACACCAGCTTAGAGGGCTGGGGTCTCACAGCCTTGTGGTCCCACAGGGAAAATCATAAAACACATAGGTAAAAGGAAAAATGCTGGTTTTATATTTTTTTGAAAAGACAAAACTTTAAGGAGGGTAATGAGAGAATCCTTAAATAAATGATGAGATCTAGCAAAAAATAAATTTGCCGCAATATCCACCCTGTTGAGGGTCACCAAGCACAAGATTAGGATATTTTTATGAATTCTGACTCCTTTTTGGGAAGGAGGAGACCAAGGCTCTGAGAGGGCCAGTGGCTGGCTCAGGGACCCTCAGCTGGGGGTGGTGGATGTGGGATACGAGTCGAGGGCTGTCTGACCCTGGATGGGGTTGGCACCTTCTCTGGGCTGTGCTGGCCCCTCTGATTGGTCACTTGCCTTTGCAAGCCTTGAGAAAGAGGCCTCTGCCCAAGCCACTCCCCCGGATCTCACCAAAAGCAGAGAGATCAGAGGGACATCCAAAATGTTAAGCACCTTTTGCCTTTTTTTTTTTGCTGAGGAAGATTGGCCCTGAGCTAACATCTGTGCCAGTCTTCCTCTATTTTGTATATGGGATGCTGCCACAGTGTGGCTGATCAGTGGTGTAGGTCAATGCTTGGGATCTGAACCCGAGAACCTGGGCCGCCAAAGCAGAGCATGCCAAACTTAACCACTAGGCCACAGGGCCAGCCCCCGCCTTTTGCCTTTTAATAAACACTCTGAACTTTCACACCTTGTAAGGTATCTACTCTCATCCCCATCCTGCTGGTGGGGAAACTGAGCCTCAGAGTGGGCCCAGGACTTGGACTAAGCCCCACAGTTGGAGCCAGCTCAGCCAGGATTTGAACCCAGGCCGTCTGACTCCAGACCCCACATCCCATCCCTGGCCCTGGAAAGATTATTGGGAAAGTTCAGGGGGAAAAAACGGTGAGGCCTTAGGCAAGGCCAGGGCCCAGGAGCCAGAGAATGGGGGCCTGAGAAACGGAAGTGAGACGGAAGATTCCGGAAGTCCAGACGGGAGGCGAATTGGACTTTCATCATGATCAGTAGCACTTGGTGAGTGCCTGCGTTCTCCGTCGGGCGCTGTTCTAGACTTCTCTCCGATGTGATCCTGTCGGCCTCTTGCTCCCGGTCAGGCAGTGAGGTGGGGAATCTCGCGGCCTCTTCCTGCGGCGTAGAGGGGAGAAGCCCCCGGCCCGGCAGTAAACAGCTGGCATATTAGCGTGCACAGTGGCCCGGGGCCCCTGCTGAGCCCTGTGCTTGCAACACAGACTTGGGGCTGGTCCCCAGCAGCCCTGCATGGAAGCCGTGTTCCTGTGCCCGTTTGATGAGAAAATAAGACCCAAAAAGCTTAAGACACTTGCTCGACCCGCCCAGCTCGAAGACGTTGGAGGCGCGACTCCAGCTGCACCCTGCTTGTCTTCTGGCCTTTGCTTCATGAATGTTTGTTGACCGGCCAACTGGTGATGAGGAAGACCGTGTTGCCAGTGGAAAGCGGTCATCTGGGGCTTCGGAAACCCAGTTTCTGCCTCTTATAGGCTCTTCGGCCTTGGGTCGTGCAGGGTCTTGGTCCCCTCGCTGAGATGCTTGGGGCAGGAAGGGACCCATGGGGGCACTCAGGATCCCCTCTGCTCCTGGATGGTGGGCGTTCAAAGCCCCATTTTCCAGGGCTGGAAACTGAGGCTGGGAGAGGGTGAGTCCCTTGCAAGCTCGAAACCCAGGATGACGTGGCTTCGAAGTCTGGGGAGCTCTTAGGGCCCGGGTGGGGGCGGGTTACGAGAGTCTCGGGACCTTGGGATGCATTTACGGGCCCCGCCTTGGGCTGGCTGGGTTTTATTCATTATCTCCCTTAATCCCCGCGGCCTGGGTAACGAGGTGGGGAGTGTCGTTCCGGTTTCCCAAGGAGGAAACCGAGACTGTGGGGACAGTCGCCGGGCTGAGGAGAGGTGGAGGCGGGAGGTGGACCCGGTGGGACCCGAGGGCTGGGGCGGCCCCCCCAGACCCTCCCTTGGGTTCCCCCAGCCGTGTCCCGGAGACTCGGGGTGTCCCTGACCCTCTCTGGGTGCACGAGCCTCTGCCCTTTGTCCCCGGGCCTTGGCAGCCGGCTCAGGTTGCCATCCCGGGTGTCGCCCTGGTGACAGGTGTGGCAGGAGGAGGGGGCTGGCGTGGGGAGGGGGTTCCTCCGCCAGCAGCGGGGCCCGGGCGCCAGCAGCCATGAGGTACCTGCCCGGGGAATGTGGCCTGGCCGCCCCGCCCGCCCTCACAGAGCCTGGAGCTCCCGGGAGCGGCTGTTCCAGGAGGGGAGGGCGGGTACCCCGCAAACCGGTTGTTCTGCTCCGGGCCACCCACCCACCCACCCACCCGCCTGGCCGCCTTAAAAGGTTGGCCCCTGGGAGCCAGCGGCTGCGGCGGTGGCCACGCCCGGCTGTGCTGTCTGGGAGCTCAGCGCTCCAGCTCCTAGACAACAAGTAACCAGCTAACCAGCTAACGAGCTAAATAGCTGACTAGCTGGCTGAGAGCTAACTGGTTTACTAGTTAACTTCCTAAGCCCCTAAGCAGCTGACTCTCTGGCTAGTTGAGCTGGCTGATTCCGGCTGGCTTAGAGAGTTAGCTCTCTGGGTTGGTTTAACTAGTTGACCCGCCAGCTCTCTAGCTGTCTCACTGCCTTTCCGTGTCCTGAGCATGTCTCGTCCACCTGCTGTGCCCCGTGAGCTGGCACAGGTCACAGTTTAGTTACAGGGGCCCGAACCTAGGCCCCACGGGGTGGGGGTGGGGTGTGGACCAATTCGGGGAGTTCGTGAACTTGGATGCAAAAAAAAAAAATAAGGGACGTCTTGATGTCCACGCACCTGGAACCTGAAACGTGGCCTCTCCCGCCATCCAAGGGTCCCCTCAGCGACGGCGGGGGAGGCAGGACCCGCGAGTCTGTCATCGGTAGAAACACAGACATGTTCCTGTCACTGCCGATACTGCGAGCACCTTTCTGGGGATTTTCTGTGCGTGTTCAAACAAATACACAAAAATGTCTATTTCCAACCCTTCCACCACGACAGCCCTCTCCTGCTCTCTTTTCACCTGATGACGTTTAGGACGGGGTCCCGCGTCTGTGCCCTGAGACCCGAGTGGGCACCCATCGCAGGAACACGCCTCTAGGCCGTTTCCAGTCTTTGTCCATTATTTTGCTGGAACGCATAAGCTTGCACGTGGTCAGGGTGAACCCTCTCCTTGCAGCACCTTCGTGCAATTTGGAAAGATTTTTTGTCCCCACTGTCAGCCTTAAAATATCTGTAATAAACGATCAAATCTACATTGTCACGGTGTGAATGGCAACCCCTTTGATAGATGTCCTTGGGCAGTGTGCAACCTGCCCAGCCGGACATGGCAGTCCCGTGCTGCCCTCTGGGCCACAGGTGGGCAGCTCAGGCGCTCTCCCTTCTTGCCCGCTGCAGACGTACTCCGGCCTTTTCTGTGTGGTCATCAATCCATACAAGCAGCTCCCCATCTACACGGAGGCCATCGTGGAGATGTACCGGGGCAAGAAGCGGCACGAAGTGCCACCGCACGTGTACGCGGTGACCGAGGGGGCCTACCGAAGCATGCTCCAGGGTGAGTGTGGGGCTGGGGCTGCTGGGGCGGGGGCGCCCTTCCATGGGGGCCGGACTGGGGGCCAGGATTGATGCCACGTCAAGGAGTTTGGACTCTGTGAGGCTTCTCTCGGGGGACAGGAGGGGACACGAATGGAGGGCCGGGTGGGCGGGACTCAGGCCTGTCAGACGGGCCCATTTCTTTCTATCTCAGTGTCCACCCTTCTCTCAAGTATCATTAGGAGCCAGTTGGTGCCAGGATTCTGCAGAAATTTCTCTACAGATAGTAATGTTGTTGATATGATCTCCATTGTCGGGGGGGGAATGGTAGCCCTTTAAAAGATACACAGTATGGGGTTGCTGGGTACGGCTGGGCAGGTTGTACACTGCACAAGGATGTCCATCAAGAGGGCTGCCCTTCACCCCATGACAAGGTCGATCGGTCCTAGCAAAATGACATAATTCACAAGTGATACACGTAATGCACTCAGTATATATTTATTCCATGTCATCTAGTTTAATAAATATTTTGTATATATTAAAATACATATTAAATATTTTAAAGTTTTTATCTTCCTATCCTATGATGTATAATAGTGTGCCGCAGTGTATTTATGTTGTACATATTATACTTAGGTCATTTAACGGATGCTATATTTCTTTTTCTTTCTTTTTTTTTGGTGAGGAAGATTGGCCCTGAGCTAACATCTGTTGCCAATCTTCCTTTTTTTTTCTCCCCAAAGCCCCAGTGCATAGTTGTATATCCTAGTTGTAGGTTGTTCTAGTTCTTCTATGTGGGCCGCCGCCTCAGCATGGCTTGATGAGTGGTGCTAGGTCTGTACCCAGGATCTGAACCAGTGAACCCTGGGCTGCCAAAGTGGAGGGCGAGAACGTAACCGCTGGGCCCTGGGCCGGCCCATCAGCCGTGATTATAGACTCGTTGTTACGTCTCAGGAGTAACCGTACAATAACGTCGGGGGAGCGCCAGGCACTTTTCACGGATTAACACATTTAACCCTGCAGCAACCCTGTGAAGTGGGTGTGCCCATTATTCCTGGTTTCCAGATGGGGAAACTGAGGCACAGAGCAGTCCAGTTGCTGCCCACTGGTGGGTGGGTGGCAGAGGTGGGTTTAGAACCCAGGGCCCCTGAGCGCTGCCTCCCTGTAGGTAACACTGTGTATCCTGTCCTCCCCCTGGGCCGGATGAGCAAGTTTTGACGTGGCCCCCCTGGGTTCTAACAGCCCGTGCCGACTCAGCCTCTTGCATTCTGTGTGGCCCTGGGAAAGCAGCTGTCCCTTTCTGAGCTTCTGTTTCCTCACCTCATCATCAAATGGAGACGATAAACCTCAACTGAGCACATTCATTCAACAAACTTCAATTTGAGCGCCTACTATGTGCCGCCTCGTGCTGCGTGTGTGAGATTCAAAGACACGAGCGAGATCCTGGACCCCAGGGCTCAGCCCCGGATGCAAAGCAGCCCACAAAACCAAATTATACACTCGCTAGGATATGAAAACCTTTTGAACATTCTGTCTGACTTCTGACTACAGCCCTGCGAGGTAGGGGCTATTTCGAGCCTCATTTTTCAGATGGGGAAACTGAGGCACAGAGCACCTCAGAGACTGGCCCGAGGTCACACAGCAAGACCTTGAACCTACATCCGTCTGGCTGCCAAACCAGGCTGCTAACTCTGACATCCTGTTGAATGTACCCTCTCTCTCCGACTTAAAACCACCCAGGGGCCCCCGCCCCGCTTAACCACCATCCATCCCTTTAATTATGACCTCCGAACCCATCTGCCCTCTCCAGCTCCCTCCCCCGGCCTCCCTGGCCTCCTTTCTCCAACATCTCCAACTCCGTCCCACCGCAGGGCCTTTGCACTGGCTGTGCCTCTGCCTGGAACTGGTGCGTTAGGGCTGAACTGAAACGCCGCCTCTTCTGAGAAGCCCTCCTGGCCTTCCACTCCTCCCCTCAGTCCCTTCTTGTTACTTGACACCAGGGTTTCTCAATCCTGGCTCTGTGGACATTTGGGGCTGGATGACTCTTTGTCGTGGGGGCCATCCTGTGCATTGTGGGAGGTTGAGCAGCATCCCTGGGCTCTACCACTGGACGCTGGTAGGACCCCTGCCCCGATGGTGACTATCAACAATGTCTCTAGGTGTTGCCAACTGTCAGATCATCTTCCGTTTAGTGTGTGTCTTTTTTTTTTTTGGTGAGGAAGATTGGCCCTGAGCTAACATCCGTGCCCATCTTCCTCTATTTTGTATTGGCTTGATGAGCACTGTACAGGCCCGCCCCCAGGATCCAAACCCGTGAACCCGGGCCGCGAAAGCGGAGTGCCGAACTTAACTGCTACACCACCGGACCGGCCCCCTGGTTTATAAGCTTTTTGTCCCTCAGACGCTCCATGAGGGAGGGGACCTTGCAGCGCCCACGGTCCTTGGCGCCTGGCACTTAATAGTCGGTCAGTGTGCATTTGTTGAAGGGTTGTGTCTGGCCCAGGGCGAGCGCAGGGGGAGGTGGCGGGGACCGAGCTGTGCTCTCTGCCCTCGAGTTGGGCACATGACCCACCAACGGGCCACCAGTCACCTCACTACCGCCTTGTGGCCTGTTTTATGTCTGAGGCTGAGACCCTGGGGCCAGGATCTCGCTCTTGTGTCTTTGAGGGCACCCAGCCCGAGGGGGCACCCAGCGGGGGCTCACGTGGAAGTTGGTTGAATGAACTCCATTCTGTTTAGTTGGAGTTTATTGTCTCCATTTGACAGGTGAGGAAACGGAAGCTCAGAGAGGCACAGCTGCTTTCCCAGGGCCACACAGCAGGCATGAGGCTGAGTCCGAGTGGAGTATTAGAATCCGGGAGGGTCACACATCAAAACTCAAGCTTGGGGGCTGGCCCCGTGGCCGAGTGGTTGAGTTCACGTGCTCTGCTTCAGCAGCCTGGGATTCACCGGTTCGGACCCTGGGTGTGGACATGGCACTGCTCATCAAGCCATGCTGAGGCAGCGTCCCACATAGAACTAGAAGGACTTACAACCAGGATATACAGCTGTGTGCTGGGGCTTTGGGGAGAAAAAAAGAAAAAAGAGGAAGATTGGCAACAGATGTTAGCTCAGGGCCAATCTTCCTCACCAAAAATAAATAAAAGCATACCTTTAAAAAAAAAAAAAGCAAGCTTTTCTTTACCTCTTGGGAATGACTTTGAAAAGTGGGCAGCCAGCGTAAGGGGCCAGGGTCCTGCTGGAGAAACCCTCCCAGGTGACACGTCCCCCTCTGTTCCCTACAGATCGTGAGGATCAGTCTATTCTCTGCACGTGAGTAATCCAGAGGGACTTCCTGGAGGAGGCGGGGGTGCCGGCTGGGCGTGGCTCTGCTTGGAATGGGTGGGGCTTACCTGGCACCCCTTTTGCTTCCCGTTGTCCCCCCACAGTGGGGAGTCTGGGGCCGGGAAGACGGAAAACACCAAGAAGGTCATCCAGTACCTGGCCCACGTGGCCTCGTCCCCCAAGGGCAGGAAGGAGCCAGGCGTTCCGGTGAGTGACCTGCCCCGGGACGTGCTGTGGACGCTGCCACCAGCACTGTCCCCTCCAGCTCTGGCTCTGCTTCCCCCCAGAATCCCCTAGCCCCCAACCTCCCATGGAGGGCCACAGTTGGGGGCCTTCTCCTGGCTGCCCATGCCACCTGTGCACCTACTACACGCCTGACATAGCGCTGGGAGCAGAGGCAGGGCGGACGCAGAAACGCGAGGGCCAGTTCTTGGTCTTGTTGGCCCTGGGAACCCTGCCTGGCACATAGTGGGTGCTTCCATTCCTGAGCACCCACTATGTGCCGGGCCTGGTTTGGGTACCTGTGGTGCGCAGGTTTGCTTTCTAAGTGAGCGTTTATATAGGGCCAGGCCCTCGGCTCACATGCACCTGACACTCTAGCGAGGTTGGTGTTGTTTCCCGCCTTAAAGATGAGAAACTGAATGTGTGGCAGGGGGAGTGGGTAGTCAGAGGTCACACCCCCAGAAAGGGCTCGAGTGGGTTCAAACCTGCGCGATGTGGTCCCACCAGGCCACCCCGCTCCACCCGCCCAGTTGCCCCAGCCCCTTGCATCTCCCCGTGCCCCGCCCCCACTGAGCCCGCCGGTTCACCTGTGTGTCTGTCCACGTTCCATGTGCTGTGTCCTGGTCCATGTCTCGTGTCCCGTGACTTCCTCAGGCCTCCGTCAGCTCCGTGTCTTATGTGAGTAGCTGGGAATCACCTCAAAGCATGCCGCCTGGGTCACCCCATCCCACGGTCTTCCTGGCAGACAGGGCCTGAGGCACCTACTATGTGCCTGCGGGGCCCCGCCCTGTCATTTAATGCCACCCTACTGTGTGCACATGGGGCCCCCACTGCTGTGTATGGCAGTCCTAATGCGTGCAACCAGGGCCCATGCTGCCATTTGCTGCAGTCCTACTGTGCGTGTGCAGCTGCACACTGCTGTTTCTGTCAGCCCTACTGTGTGAGTGCAGACTCTGTGGGCCCAGATACCAATAAGAAACAACCCAGAGACTGTTTATTGCTGATCTGCTCAGTGTGCGTAGACGGGGCGCACAGACACCAGGAATTCACACAACCCGGAGACCCACACAGCCATTTGTTGCAGGCCTACTGGGTACACCCAGCTCAGGCTAGTCTCTGCCGGCGTACGGGGAATTTAAAGAAATCGTGGGCGCCCTTGGGAGCCTGGCTCGAAAGGGGATTCCTGCTCACTGAGGACCCATGATGCGTTGGGCTCCTTGCTGGGCGTTGAGGGATAAAGACGGATTCGCTGAATGGATGATGTGAGCAACTGAATTACACGCTTTTGGGGCTCCTGGCTTGGTTGGGGAAGAGAGGGCGTTCATTGACCGCCTCCTGTTAACGAGAAAGGCAGATCTCCATCCGTCTCTGCTCAGAGTAAAAGCCTTCTCATTCTTGCTGCTTCACGGGGTGCAATGAGGGGGGTGGTAGGAACCGGTCCCTCAGACGCTCGCCTTCCAGCCTATGAGCGCCACGAGAGCCCGATCCTGTCTGTCCTATTGGCTGCTGCTTTCTAACACCGAGGACAATCTCTGGCACATAGTAGCCACTCACTGCACAGTTTTTCAATGAGTGGACGGCTTAGCTAGGAACATAAACAAATGTATCGAGGTCTCCTATGTGCCAAACCACACGCCCTTCTTTGCATACGTTTGTTCACTTGACAAAGCCATTTGCTTAGCTGAGATTGTTTCGTTGTAACATATGCAAGATGTAGCGTGACAGAAGACACATGGGCTGACATTTATTGAGCACCTACCATGTGCCTGGTTCGGCCGCCAGCGTGGCTGTAGGGAAGTTCGGAGTAAGATCCCTACTCGCGGATCAGCCTGGTTGAGGAAGGAAACCAGCATTTCTTGAGCGCCCACTGTGTGCCAGGCAGTTTGAAACACTTTACATAGAAAATATAGATTTTTTTCCTTAATTAAAATTCCACAAGTAATACATAAGTGTGTAGTCACTGTAATATCAACAAAAAAATCAGAAAAAGTGAAATTCTTCTTTCCTCCTTTCAGTCCCCCTTTCTTGGAATGGCTTACACTGTTGACAGTTTGGTGTGTATCCTTGTAGACTTTCTCCAAATGTTTACGAACATGTACATATACCTGTAGAAATGGGAGTCTCGTTTTGTGGTGTTTTTTTCTTGATTTATTTTTTATTAATGGGATCCCTTTGTGGGTATTGTTCTGCAACTCGTCTTTTTCGTTTTGTTTTGTTTGCACTCAACAATGTATCTTAGAGATGTTTCCTTGTTCCCTTCACAATAGACTGAAGGGCAAGACCCGGATGTGAATGTGGGGAAGAGGGCACACACGCAGACACACAAAGACTCCTCACACACAGACACTCAGTCAGCTGCAACACAGGCCCCTGAGCCAGGCCAGCCCCGCCCCGTCTCACTGATGTGCCGTCTCCCACCCCCAGGGTGAGCTGGAGCGGCAGCTTCTCCAGGCCAACCCTGTCCTGGAGGCCTTCGGCAACGCCAAGACCGTGAAGAACGACAACTCCTCCCGATTCGTGAGTGACAGCGACACGGGGTGGGGGGGCAGAGGGGGTGAGGGCAAGATGTGTGGACCTGCTGAGGGAGGAGGGGCTGGGGGCCTGGACTCCTGGGTCTGAGGGAGGAGGGGCTGGGGGCCTGGACCCCTGGGTCTGAGGGAGGAGGGGCTAGGGCTGGACTCCTGGGTCTGAGGGAGGAGGGGCTGGGGCTGGACTCCTGGGTCTGAGGGAGGAGGGGCTGGGGCTGGACCCCTGGGTCTGAGGGAGGAGGGGCTGGGACCAGCGTCCTGAGGAAAGGAGTCCTAGGAGCCTGGCCCTTGGGTTCCCCAGGGAGCCCTCTGGGACCTTTTGCCTGGGGGGGTTCAGGCGGACAAGGAGAGTGGAGGGCAGGCCTGGCCCTGGGAGGGATGGGGGTGGGGGTGCTCTTCCCCCTCAGCTGAAACCCCACCTCCCTCCAGGGCAAGTTCATCCGCATCAACTTCGACGTCGCCGGGTACATCGTGGGCGCCAACATCGAGACCTGTATCCTTTATGCCTTGGAGGGTCCTGAGGGGCAGCGAGGGGTGACGGGGAAGCAGGTGGCCATTGGCATCTCACTGCTTATGGGAAATAGGAGTCCACACACGCAGGGCGACCTGGCTCCCTGCTGCTCAGACACTGCCTCAGCTTCCCTCTCTGCAGACGGGGAAGGATTGTGGAACCTTGGCCCGGTGGTTGGACCTAGGACGGTTGGAGGACAATGGGAGTCCAGTGCTCAGCTCGGCACCCGCCACGTCGTAAGCACTGGAGGTCGAGCTGCTGTTATTAGAAACGAATGACCGACGTAGATGAGCGATGTCCCCTCACTGTGAATGTCGCGGATTAACAACCACTCGTGTGATGTTAGCGCCATGGAGAGTGAGCCACGTCCCACTTCCGGGGGCGTCTGATAAACTCACTGCCCTCCGAGATCTAGGGGGAGGTTGGAAGCGGCGTGTGGGGAGGGTTTGGGTCTGAGGCCTTTGGGGACGAGGAACTGGGGTCCCACTGCTTCCTCGGGCGCACGACCTCTAGTCTCCTGGAGCCACCCGCTCCTGCTGCCCACAGTTCCTGCCGCCCGTTGCTCCCCCACATCGAGCTCCTGCTTCCACGGTTTTGAGACCTCACGGCTCTTCCTGCCCCAATCCATCCTGCCTCCTCCAAACCCGAGCTTCCTGCAGCCTCTTTTCTTTTCTTTTTTTTTCCTGAAGAAGATTAGCCCTGAGCTAACATCTGCTGTCAAGCCTCCTCTTTTTGTTGAGGAAGACTGGTCCTGAGCTAACATCCATGCCCATCTTCCTCTACTTTACATGTGGGACGCCTACCACAGCATGGCGTGCCAAGCAGTGCCATGTCCATACCCAGGATCCGAACGGGTGAACCCCGGGCCACCGAAGTGGAATGTGCGAACTTAACTGCTGTGCCCCCGGGCCGGGCCCCTGCAGCCTCTTTTTATCTTTGCATCGTCTTCTCAGCCTGCTGGCCGTGCCGACTTTCTCCCGTCCGCACGGCAGCCGAGGCTGCCCCCCGACCCGGGCCAGCTCGCTGGCCCAGCTGTCTCTGCCTCAGGGCCTGTGACCAGCCTGTGGGCTGATGCTCACGGGGCAGGTGCCACCCCCGGGCCAATCAGCTGCGTCCGGAGACGCCTCCCTGCCTTGTCTCCCCTCCTCCCCTCTGTGACCCGGCCAGGCACGTGCTGTTCCTATCCCCTTGAACAGGAGGGGAAACCGAGGCTCGGGGCTGTCGCCACCCTGGGTGGCACAGGTCGTGTGCTTCCCCCAACCCACCCTGCCTGTGGGACCCTCTCCCTGGGTCCTCCCCATGTCACTCAAGCAGGTTGGTGACCCAGGACTTCCCGTCCTCGGACCTCGGTTTGTGGCCGATCTTGGCTGATCTGCGTGACGACTGTCATGCAAAATACGTACTTGGGGGCCGGCTCCACGGCCGACTGGTTAAGTTTGCACGCTCCACTTCAGCAGCCCAGGGTTTGGATCCTGGGTGCCAACGTGACACTGCTCATCAAGCCATGCTGTAGTGGCATCCCGCATGGAGGAAATAGAGGAATAGAATGACCTACAACTAGGATATACAGCCATGTGCTGGGGCTTTGGGGGTAAAAAAGAGGAAGATTGGCAACCAATGTTAGCTCAGGGCCAATCTTCCTCACCAAAAAAAAAAAAAAAAAAAGCCAAAATACGTGCCTGGTGGTCCATGAGGGTGGGGCGTGGAGGGGTAGACGAGTTGTCATGCGTTTTATTTGACTCTAAGGTGCCTTGCTGCTTTTCAGTGTGTAAACTCGCCACCGACTTTCCTCAAAGGGAGGGGCTGAGGGTGACAATGGAGGAGATGCCCTTACCTGTGGTTAACGACGCCCCAGGTGCCACTCTGGGTGTTTGACACGTAGTAACTCCTCTCCTCCGCCAGCAACTCACTGATGGGTGTTATTATCAGCCCATTGAACAGATGAGGAAACTGAGGCACAAGTGCTTAAGTGACATGCCCAGGGCCACTTGTCCAGTTAGTGTCAAGGCCGTGAACAACGCCACTGCCTCATGGGGTAGCAGGGGGCCGGCCGGGGTCCAGGGGGCCGGGTGGGGTCCCCTCCCTGCCCTGTAGCACCTTGACTCGCCTCCACCCAGATCTGCTGGAGAAGTCGCGGGCCATCCGCCAGGCCAAGGACGAGTGCAGCTTCCACATCTTCTACCAGCTGCTGGGAGGCGCCGGGGAACAGCTCAAGGGTCAGTGCTGTGCTGCTTGAGGGGAGTGGGTGGGCTTCTCTGGGCCCCTGCAAAGGAGGCCGTGGGAGGCACTAATCTTTACCCAGCACCTGCTTCATGTCAGGCTTCTGCTGGGTGGTGGAGTCTGTCGCCTCCTGGATCCCACTGTTCCTGATTCCCACCACCTTGTGACTCTTGCCAAACAGAGAATCCCGGTTTCCTGCATCCCGCTCACACCGGCTGCGTGGCCAGGCGGCTCCGCGCTCGCTTCTCTTCCAACTCCAGGGCTCCCACTTGCCCCGGGGGTGCTCGGCCTCCGCTCCAGCTTTGCCTCGGCTCCCGCGGCCTCGGGGGTCCCGGTGGTCCTGGTCCCTGTGGCTTCTTGGCACCTGGCGCCTCGCAGTCCCGCTTCCCTCCGTCTCCTGCGGCCCCCGGTTCCTGCCTGAGGTCCCTCCTGTCACCCGCTCCACGTGCCCCCTGCCCTCTGTCCACGGATGGCCCTGCGGCTGCCTCTCGTTCCCGCTCCTTCTGCCTCCTGGCCCGCCTCCCCCAGACTCTCGCTCCTGGTGGCTTCCGAGCCCACGTGCCCTCTGCCGCTGGCCCCTGCTGTCCCCTGGCTTCTGCTCACTCGGGCCCCCATGACCCTGCTGCTTCTGCCCGCCCCGGGCCTCTCCGTGACTCGAGAATCTCGATGGAAGGAGGGGAGACGAGAGGCCTTGAGCGTGCTGAGCACCGAGTCCCTGCCCACCCGGCCCTTCCCACCAAACCCATGAGGAGACGATCCTCACGATTTGACAGAAGAAGAGACCGAGGGCCCCAGTGGCGAAGTGACTTGTCCTGGGGTGGCCGTCGACGAGGCCGTGACCTGAGTCTGGCCCCATGATAGCTCGCCCTTGACCTCGGCCTCCGCCCCTTGCCCCTGCAGCCGACCTCCTCCTGGAGCCGTGTTCCCACTACCGCTTCCTGACCAATGGGCCGTCCTCCTCCCCCGGCCAGGAGCGGGAGCTCTTCCAGGAGACGCTGGAGTCCCTGCGGGTCCTGGGATTCACCCACGAGGAAATCACCTGTGAGTGACCCCCGAGCCCCCTGGGAGGGGCAGCGGTGGCACCGCCCGGGCGGGTGGGGGAACTGGCCCTTCGTTCCTCGGTTTATCTGCTCACGCATTTATTGAGCACTTACTGTGTGCGGGCGGTGGAGCCATGGCAGGGGATGAGCCTGACAGACGTCCCTGCCTTGGGGAGACTGGCTAAACAAGAACCGCGATCCGGATAAATCAGGAATTCTGTGGTCTATGAGGAGGCAATGAGTGCCGGGGAGGAAAAAAAAAAAAAAACAAAAGAGGGAATGGAGGAGGGAGGGGGGAGCAGCTTTAAAAAGGGGATCAGGAAGGGTCCCCTGAGACGGTGATGTTTGATGGAGGAGCTGAGGGAGTGAGCGCTGGTGCTATTGGGAAGAGTGTTCTAGGCAGGGGGAACAGCCTGTGCAAAGGCCCTGAGGCAGGAAACGTGTGGCATGTTGGAGGAATTGAAACTTCTTGACGGCGTTCGGTCTAGTGTGAGTGACCCAGGGGAGTGAGGAGATAGAGATGGAACTGCAGAGGCAGGCGGGGCCTCAAACGCCAGTCTCAGGGGCTGAGACTTTGTCCTGGGGGCACTGGGGAGCCCTGGGAGAGCTGGGAGGAGGGGAGGGACATCTCTGGGCCACGTGGAGGATGGACTGGAGGCCGGGAGGAGGCTGAGGTGAGGGTGCGGGGAAGACCCTGCCCTTGACCCCGGGTCTGCCCTGCTTGGTCGGGGCTAGACGGCCGTGGGGTGCAATCCTCCCCGTGTTCTCGGCTTTGCGCCCCACCTTTTCCATCAAACAGCGTGTTCTGACGATGGCTCAGTTGCGGGAGTGTATTTCTGTGCTGGGGCTGCCGTATCTGAGCACCCCAGACCCACTGCCTTCAATGGCAGACTCGGATGGGCTCCCCGTTCTGGAGGCCACAAGTTGGGGCTCGAGGTGTCGGCGGGGTTGGTTCCTCCTGGGAGAGTCTGTTCCCCCCACCGCCATAGCTGCCGGTGGTTTCCTGGCGATCTTTGGCGTTCCTTGGCTTGTGGGAGCATCGCCCCATCTCTGTTTTCATCTTCACATGGCGTGCTCCCCGTGGGTGCATCTCTGTGCAAATTCCTCCCCCCTCCCTTTTTTTTGGCTGAGGAAGATTGGCCCTGAGCTAACATCTGTTGCCAATCTTCCTCTTTTTGCTTGAGGAAGATTGTCCCTGAGCTAACGTCTGTGCCGATCTTCCTCTATTTTATGTGGGATGCTGCCACAGCGTGGCTTGATGAGCAGTGCTAGGTCCACGCTCAGGATCTGAACCTGCAAACCCCAGGCTGCCAAAGCAGAGTGCACAAACTTAACCACTCGGCCACCGGGCTGGCCCCAAATTCCCCCTTTTTATAAGGACTCCCGTCATATTGCCTCAGGGCCACCCTACACCAGTACGACCCCATCCGAACTTAAATAATTACATCTGCAATGACCCGACACCCAAATGAGGTCACATTCTGAGGGGTCCTGGGGGTTAGGACTTCAAGGGATCATTTTGGGCGGGTGGGGGGGTGGGGGCCACGATTCGGCCCATGACAAGGACACGTCAGTGGACCCTCACCTTTTTGGTGGCTTCCTGACATTTCACGTTTTGCATGAATATGATTCTTTTTACCCATTTTGCAGAGAAAAGACCTGGTTTGCAGGCTGGGCGGGCCGGGCTCGCCGGGTCCCTGGTGCTGAGGGCGCCCGGGAGCTCTCGATGGCTCTGGGGCTGAGTCGGGACGGCTGCGACCCGCTGCCCCCTTGGCTGCCACCTCGCCGGCCCGCTCGGTGCGTTGACACGGGGTCCCCGGCCTCCCCCCGCCGGGTCGGCCAACCTCGGTTGTGTAACTCGAGCCTCCGCTCTGTGCCCTGGGCAGCTGGCAGGCGCGTGGAGATGCCGGCCCCTCCGGTCCCGCCTGGCCTCCTGACATGGGTCACCTCGAGTGACCCTCCCGGCCCAGGCCGCTGTTCCGATGTCTGCCATTCCGAGAGGAAAATGTTGAAACAACGTCCGCGAGGAGTGACAGCATCGGAATGTGGCCGAAGGTCGCAAGCGGATGCAAACCTCCCAGCCCCCTCCCCGAGCCCTCATTTCCCCTGTTAAGCTTCTGGCGTCGCCTTCCAGAAATATTTGAGACATGTCAGAAATGACCCACATTATTTATTTTTTTTACAAAAAGAGGCGTTCTCCGGGCCCCGGGCTGACAGTCAGCCGTCCTGGGGATAAAAATGTTAAGCTGTTTCTCTGCGGATTTAACGGTTGCTCCAGGGCCCCACCTCCCCAACCTTCCTCCCAGGAGCACCCCAGATGCAGCAGCTGACGGATGACGACCCCTCGCATGTCAGGCCCCACGTTCTGGCCCGGGAGGGCACGGGGCTCACATTCCCAAGTCATCACCGCCATGTTAGGGTGCGCTGTCCCCGACTTGTCCCAGAGGACGGTTTATTTTGGTAATCATTCTGTATGGGTGAACTTTGGTCTTTTTTGTGTCTGCGTAGGTTTCATTGTTTAGATGAACTATGTTTTATTTTTGGTGAGGAAGATTGGCCCTGAGCCAACATCTGTTGCCAATCTTCCTCTTTTTGCTTGAGGAAGATTGTTGCTGAGTTAACACCTATACCAAACTTCCTTTATTTTATGTGGGATGTCACCACAGCATGGCTTGATGAGCGGTGCTAGGTCCTCACCCAGGATCCGAACCTACAAACCCCAGGCCTCTGAAACAGAGTGCACGAACTTAACCAGTATGCCACCAGGCCGGCCCCTGAACTATGATCCTTGTAACCAATCCCTGTCCCTTGCAGACAGACCTTTAGGGTGACTGCGTCCCATTGCTATTGCAAACCCCCCCTCCCCCAAATGGTGCCATGGATATCCTTGTGAGTCAGTTTTGTGCTCCTGTGGGAACAGACTGCAGGGTCAATTCTTAGAAACGAAATGCTGGGTCTAAGCCGAGGGGCAGTGTTCGTTTTTATCTGGCTTTAACAAAAATTTAACAGCTCTATTGAGATAGAATTCACATACCACACTATTCACCTATTCAACATGTCCCAGCCGGTGGCTTTAGCACATTCACAGACTCGCGCATCCATCTCCACAGTCCCTTTTAGGACGTTGGTGGTCACTCCAGAAGGTTGCTTGCTCCCCTTTGCCCGCCAGCCCCTGACCACCGCTTATCTGCTCCCTGTGTCTGGATTTGCCTGTCCCAGACCTTTCATATGAGTGGCCTCATGCGACAGGTCGCCCTTGGTGTCTGGCTGCTTCTGCTCAGCATGATGCTTTCAAGGTTCGTGTGTGCGCTTCATTCCTTTTTCCTGCTCAATAATTTTGATTTTTCTCTCTCTGATGGAAAATTTCAAACACCTATGCAAATATAGAGCAGAGGGTAAGGAACCCCCAGGCACCTGCCGCCAGATCCAGCAATTTCCCCTCGTGGCTTCTTGGCTTCCAGCTCTGACCCGCCCCCCCTAGTTTCTGAGCGTTTTTTTCAAATCCTAGAGAAGCCACGTGGCCGTCCGGCAGGTGGCGCTGGTTTCCCGCCCGCGCGCCTCGTCCCCAGAGCGTCTCCCCACGTGCCCGCCGCGCCCGCGTCCTCCGCTTTTTTGCTTTTGCTGCGGTGGGACGTGCATGGCGTCTCCTTATAGTTTTACTTCGTGTTTCACTTACAAGGAGGGGAGCCAGCCGGTCACCTTGTCACAGCCTCTCCTTTTGACGAAGGAGGAGACAGAGGCCCAGGGAGGTGGGGTGTCTGCCCCGGGACTACCCCCAATGGACCAGGAGGTGGTGGAACCCGGGTCGGACTCCAGAGCCAGCCCGTGATCCATCCATTTCCGGGGAGGCAGGTGGGCACCTCCGTGCATCCCGCCCCCCGGGAAGCCCTGGGCACAGAGCGCTGTGGGTCACTCGAGGCAGGGCCTCCGTCCCCCTCCCGCGCCGGTGCCATAAATGCCGCCCCCGGGGGTGGCGCGGGCGCAGGGACGCGCGCTCCCTCCCACGTGCGGCCTCGCCAGCCCCAGGCCTCCCCCCTGCAGGCCGGGGCCACCATCGGCCACCCGCGATCGGCCGGTCCGGAGTCACCGGCGAGAGCTCACTGCCGAGTCCTCGGGCGTCAGAGTCACCCGGGTGCTGGGCACCCACGCGGGTCCCTCAGCCAAGTGTAAAAGGCCACTTTAAAGGCCACAGGGGGAGCTCGAGCCTGGGCCGGGTCTGAGCTGACGTTAGGGAATGAATGATCGCTCCGTTTGGCAGCGGGGAGGTGCCATTGTGGGTCTCTAAGGAGACGTCCTTACTTATTTATCTTTGGGGAGGCGCCCCGGCTGCGCCTCCGGAACCTGCCAGCGTTTTCGGGGCTCTCAGCTGTCCCTGTCCTCTCGCCCCTGACTCCAGAGGGGCAGAAACAGAAGCCAGTGAGCCCAGCCATCCCACGGCCCAGCAGGGGAAACTGAGGCCCAGCCGGCCACCTGGCTTGCTCAAGGTCACGCAGCAGACTCTTGCCATTCCATGATGAATTCCCCGTTAGTTAACTCTGTGCCATTTATTCAGTAATATATCTATTCATTCGACCCCTGCGAGCACTGGGCTCGACTAACAGTGACCACGATAGAACACGCCCGTGCCCTTGGGGGCGCTCAGACCCAGGGAGCATCAAATCACGCAAAGAGATTGAAGCTGAAGCTGGGAAAGGTGACGGATGGAAGGTGCATGGAGCGGTGACGGTGTGTCGTGGGATCCCCCGCCGGCCGGGGAGGGTCAGCCCTGGAGGAGGCGGCGCTTGCCTGAGCACCGACGGTGGGGCAGGAATGAACCAGGTGTAGCTGGTGCAGAAACGGCATTCGGGTGGAGGGAACTGCCGGGGCAAAGGCCTGGCAAGAAAGAGTGTCACCTATGGAGGGACTGGAAGGAGGCTGCTGCGGCTGGTTGGACTAAGTGAGGGGACCCCGGGGCTGGAGGGGGTGGGAGGGTCGGAGACAGGGTGCCGGAGATCCTGATAGGGGTTCCATTGAATCCCAGAAGTAGTGGGGGTTGTGGAAGGAATTCTTCCCTCGAAACTGGCAAGCTAAGTCTCATTCTTGAAAACGTTTATAGAGGATTTACTCTATGCGCGGTACTTGGTTAGGAGAGGAATAAGGAACAGAGATGTTTTCCACAAGGACCTACGAGCTCAGTGGAGGGGGAGAGGAAAAATCAATGTTTCTTACACACCCCAGCGTGCCCAGCAAACTAGACCATATCAACTTAAAAGGCAAATTCGCCTATTTTATCTCAAAGTAAGTTTATTCAGGAACAGCCCAAAGAATTGCAATTCTGGGTGTCCATGCTGTGGTAAACCACAGGCAAATCCAGAGAACAAAGGAAAGGAGCTGTTTTTATAGAGAAAAGGGGGAGGAAAAGAGCTGTTCTAAAGGAAACTCCATTGGGGGAAAGTAACAGTTCAGGGCGGCAACGGGGCATCTCATTGGCTGAGCTGCGGCATATCTCATTGGCTGAGCTGCGGCGTTTCTCATTGGCTGAGCTGCGGCGTTTCTCATTGGCTGAGCTGTGGCATTTCTCATTGGCTGAGCTGCAGTGTTTCTCATTGGCTGAGCTGTGGAGTTTCTCATTGGCTGAGCTGCAGTGTTTCTCATTGGCTGGGCTGTTGCTGGTTGGGGAGAGAAATCTTCCTTTAGTAGTAAAGTAGTTTTGCTTCCTATCGGAGATGCAGCTTCTGTCACTTCCTGTTTGGTGTAATTGACGATGTTTAGTTAAGGTTTCTTTTATTAATTTCCACAACCGAAACCTTTTTTTGTTTTTGAGACAGAATGCATGTATCATAAAATTCACCACTGTAAAGTGTACAATTCAGTAGTTTGTAGTATATTCACAAGGTTCTGCAACCATCACTGCAATCTCACTATCTACTTCCAGAAACCAAGTCTTTTTTTTTTTCTTTGCTGAGGAAGACTGGGCCTGAGCTAACATCCGTGTCCATCTTCCTCTACTTTATACGTGGGACGCCTATGACAGCATGGCTTGCCAAGCGGTGCCATGTCCACACCCGGCATCTGAACCCGCGAACCCCAGGCTGCCAAAGCAGAACATGCGCACTTAAATGCTGTGCCACCGGGCCGGCCCGTGTCAATGCCTGTTTCCTGAGAACATTCTCTGACAAAACCGCAGTACGGTGTGATCACCAGGAAATTAGCAGTGGCACAATTTGTACTGTTATTGAATCCACAGACCATATCATCCCAATAATGTCCTTGATCCCACAAAAAAATGTTTTTCACAGACTGTATGCCACTTTCCCCAATAATATCCTTTAGAGCAAAAAAAACAACAACAACAACACTTTTTTACAGTTTCGCGCACACACGCGCATGTCCCCAGGCCAGGATCACACACTGCGTGGAGTCCTCTCTGTCTGTCCGCAGCTGTTCCTCGGTCTGTCTTTATCCGCCGTGACCTAGACGTTTTTGAAGATTACAGATCAGCTGTTTTGTTTCGACGTGGGTGGGTTCCTGGCCCTCCGATTTGATTATGCATTTTTGGCAGGAGTGTCCCAGAAGCGTGGTCCCCGCCTCCACCTTGCACCACCCGCTTTTTTCTAAGTAAACTTGGTGTCAAAGTTGGCATAGACGCCAAAAAGCGAAAAGCGCGCACACAGCCGGAGCGCCCTTCTCGGGGGGGTTTCCGCAGCGGATGCCTCGTATGCCCGGCGCCTACACACCTCGTAGGCCTGTTCCCATCACGAGACACCCGCACCCCGCGTGTACCCAGGATTCTGGCGTCTGACAACTTGGACTTGTTCTGCCTGTTCTTGAGTTGATACAAATAGTCTCCTGCAGAATGTGCAATTTGGCATCTAGATTCTTCCACTGGAGCCTGTGATGGCGAAATTGGTTTGTGCTCAGTGAGTGGCCAGGAAGGGGAGCTTCTGAGGAGCCGGCTCCATGGTATGCTCACTATGAGAAAACTCCTTGAGCTGGATGTCTATGATTTGTGTGCTTTCCTTTTCTTTCTTTCTTTTTTTTTTCCTGAGGAAGATTAGCCCTGAGCTAACATCTGCTGCCAATCCTCCTCTTTTTGCTGAGGAAGACTGGCCCTGAGCTAACATCCGTGCCCATCTTCCTCTACTTTCTATGTGGTATGCCCACTACAGCATGGCTTGACAAGCAGTGCCATGTCTGCACCCGGGATCCGAACCAGAGAACCCTGTGCTGCTGAAGCAGAATGTGCACACTTAACCACTGGGCCACTGGGCCGGCCCCTGTGCACTTTTCTTTGTGCAAACCATGCATACCTATTTGCATTTGAATTTTGTGCTAAAAGAGGAAGGGAAGGAGAAAGCGGTTAAGAATACAGACCCCAGAGTCGGGGACTGCCCGGGTTTGAATCTCAGCCGTGCCCCTTATGAGCTGGATGATCTTGGGCAAGTTCATTACTGGAAGGTGCCTCGGTTTCCCCGCCTGTCCAATGCGGGTTTTACCCGGTTTCCCTTCTGTGAAATGCTTTTGCAGGATGTGCCTCATTGCGTGGTTACGAAGGTTAAAGGAATTCGCTTAGAAGTGTTTGTCACGGGACCCGGCACGGAGCACGCTGTGTCCATTTCAACCCGTAAATCGTAGAATCTGCTCTGGAATGCGCAGCTGACGAGGCCCCGAGGTGTCCGCGCTGACCCAGAGCATCGGCATGAGAGCGGCAGATACGCGCCAACCTGATGTAGGCGTGCTGTGTGGTCCACCCAAATGCTACGTGCGGCTGTGCGGTGGAGACGAGAGGGTTCTGAGACAACGACCAAATCTTGATGAAATTCTGAGCAAAACCAACCACAGTCTTCCCTCCGATTACACAGTGTGCCCTTCGGGAAAGTTCACTGTGTATTAAAACCAAACACGAAACACTTCTGTGTGTATACATACGACAGCTGGGGTTCGTCTCAGATAATTACAGACCATCATTTCTTGGACGTGAATGTCCAGTGGGACGTTCAGAAGTCACAAAGGACATGGGCCATTTTTGTGGTACAGAAGGGGTGTCTGCATCCAGGTCCCCACCTGCCCAGTCGCTGTAACATCCAGAAACACCCCACACATTGAGGCGTGGCCCCCATCTTTATGCCAACCAAACCCTACAAATTCCTGAGACATACTCTAGAGGGCGGTATTGCCCGCTTACGACGAGATTTCTAGCTGTTATCTAGCCCCTCCTTATTCGCGGTTTCTGCATTCGCGAATTCGCTGACCCACTAAATTTATCCGCAGCCCCCAAACCAATCCGCCGGATGCTTTTGTGCTCTTTGCCGTCACTCCTACAGGGGTGAGAAACTTGATTTGCCCAGTGCATGGTTGCTGAGGTCCAATAGGCTCTGCCTTGTTGTTTTAGCTCATACTGTAAATCAGTGTCCTTTTCGTGGTCCATTGAGTGCCACCTTTTCTGCGTTTTTGTGTTTTTGGTTGGAGATTTCACTATCTAAAATGCTCCCCCTAATGCCGTCTGGTATTTCTTAGTGCAGGAAGACTGTGATGCGCCTTATGGAGAAAACACGTGTTAGATGAGTTTGCTGTCTTTAAACACATACACACATAAAACAAGGTGACGTGTTGACCAGTTGATGAAAAAGTCGTGACCAGAGGCTCACAGCAACCAGACGCCGTATTTCCTCCCATTAACGTTCCTTCCCAGTCGCTAATTCAGCGTTCGCGGCAACTGTATAGCGTGTTAACTACCGCGAATAACGAGAATCGACTGTACTTTCTCTTCTCTGCCATTTTTTACATAGATAGGGGTATACCAAATACGCCGTCCTGCCTCTCACATTTTTGAGTGGATATTTTAGAAATCTTTCCATATCACTAAAGACTCGTTCATTTCCCTAAGTCCTGTGAAATCTTCTATGCATCGCTTTCTAAAACGAACGACGTAAGCAGACACTGAATGGTGGCAGAGCAAACCGCGGATACGAAATACAGAATTCGTTTGTCCGCTCGTATGCTTTAAGTCCTGCCCCAGTGTCCCAGGTGGATTTTAGGCTGAGGGGTGGGGGTGTCATTTGACGTGGGGTTTTAGAGCTGCATTTTTAGGGGGCCTCGGGCTCCGGAGCCGCCCGTGACCTTTCTCTCTGCTGCCCCGTAGCCATGCTGCGGATGGTGTCGGCCGTCCTTCAGTTCGGCAACATCGTCCTGAAGAGGGAACGGAACCACGATCAAGCGTCCATGCCGGACAACACAGGTACCACCCGCCCAGCCGCCTTCCCGGCCCCGCGAACGGAGCATCCTCCTCTCCAACGGGCCCGCCTCCCACCCACCCGGGCCCTCTGATTCCCTGCGCTTTGCTGAATCTTGCCCAAAATAACACCTTCTGCTCTTTTCCTGCCTGTAAAAAGCGTGATCTTTGCTGAAAATTTGAACACCACCCGCGTACCAAAGAGGAGACAGCAGGGCCCCCGTCAGCCCAGCCGTTAGAGACCCCGTCAGGCTGGGG